GAGTTTTACGACTGCGCTTCATCTCACGCTCGCTAACCCTTCTCACCCCATGCTCTTTTCTATTGAGCCTAGCGGCGTGTGCACACTGGCCTGCTAACCCTCTTAACAATCTCCGTGCCAATCAAGGGCACGCCCTTAAATGTCCCGGGGTTCGCCTGCTCTCGTGAAATCTACAGAGAGCGATTGTAATTTCAGACTTCCCTATAAACGTTTAACGTTCGCGAGGGCCGGTGTATATTAGAGATATATAGAAAATCTGTGAGGACTTTAAAACCATCCTAACGTCGGTTTACACTCCAAATTCAAGTGTATACCTAAGAGCTTTCATACATTTGTGTTTGGTTTTCCAGCTAAAAGTAACACACTACGTTATGTAAAAAAATGGATTTAACGTGTAGTGCTATTTTTAGACTGAAAATTAAATCACACATCTACACACTTAAATTTATAATGTCAAATTATATCCAGCTTGAGTTATTTTTAACTACTTCTATAGGTCGCCACCGTTCCACTTAATATGTCGTTAACTGAAACAATGAAGTTGAACAGTTTAACTTTATTATTTTAGTTTAATTAAACAATGAATGTATTAAATTTGTCTAAAGTTTTTTAGCTTATTATTTACTAAGTACATTCGTTAAAGTGGACGTTGTTTACTTGAAACTAAACAATTCATCCACGAAATGGATTTATTTACATTTTGAAACATATGGAAATTAAAAATAACAGAATGTTATTTAACTCAATTTTTTGATTGAGTTGCTTCTTTGATATCTAACAGTAGATGAAGATACTTGTTATATTTGAATTTGCAGTGTGTGCGTGTATGTGTCAGTTAATGGATTAATTTCAAACGTGAAGACTTGATCCCTTTTCCTTCTTTCTCTTTCTATCCCTGTGAAATTAACTACCCTTCTATATGTATATAACACCAGAAAGCACAGGATTTAATTTTCCTACATGTATTAATATCAAGTAGACTTCCTTTTAACTCTATACATACACAACGAACCCTCACGTTTCTTGTGGGGGGTTCTATCTGTCTCAAGCTCAAACGAAATTATCGATCGTGAAGTTTACATAAATAAATAAAGACGATGTATACGTACATATCAAAGGCACACACAGGCGAATGACTTGTGAGTACCACAATTGTATATACTCCCCATATAGCAGCCTATTAAGTGCGTATGGAGACTGTATTGTACTTCCGACTTATTTCTGCGTATCGTCAACTTAGAGTGTCATACTGCGCGACACAGAAGTTATCGATTCGAACGTAAGAATTTCTGTGAGCACGCGAAGGTCATGGTTCTTTTTTTTAACTGCAGCATACGAGTATAGATAGCTCAGTGTGACTCCATATTGTAGCAATCCCGTTAAACGCATACAAGAGATCCCGCGGTGCCACTCGTTGAACTTTTATACCCCGTCGACCTATAACGTCGCTTTGTGAATTTCATTTAAAATTATTATATATAGCGTGATCGTGAAAAATTTCTATGAATACATTAATGAATATATTAATAAAGGATATTAATGAAAGGAGGATGTTGCGGTTTGGCTGTTTTTCGATTAATATGAGAAAGTTTCAAGATGTACAAATTATTTATTAAAAGGCTACTTTAATAAATGGGGAGTACTTATCTCATTTTGTTTTGTACACAAGTGATTACCTGCTACGGTGTTTTATATTCAATTAAATTCACTGTTATTAACTACACATATTGTACATTATTGATTGCTTTCAAATATATTAGTATTCGAGAACATTATAAATATGGATTTATTCACAATTTTTTGAAAAAATAAGTAGAGAAATATCAAACAAATAGGTATTAAACTGAATATGCACGTTAAATAGCTTATTATGAAAATATATCTAAAAAATGAAGATTTTAATATAACGCTTTTTTATTGTGGGATTTTGATGGAATTGCGTATTTAAAAAATTATAGTTATTAACTTCGTAAAAAATTATATACTAAAAAAAACAAAATAAAATATGTCAAAAGAAAAAAATAATATTCATTTTATAACAATGTACATATTTTTCACGCTGGAATATAAAAACATCCCAGGTGACTATTCCCAGGTTGAGTCTAGTCGAGCGGTGTATCGCTTATCATAGGAAAACATCGGGAATATCGAAATTAGAAATCAAAACTAAACAATTATTTTGTATTGGATTTTTTGTCACTTGCCAATCGATAGTAGAACTCTCTTTTAGTTATACGTATTTTAATAATAATACAGTCTTTGTTGTTTAATTCTCGAAAGTCTCGATATCTTACTCAACAATCTTTGATCAATAAACGTGATAGCGTTACATTTATTGTCTTTAATATCTTGATTTCTGTCATGTTCCTGGTATTTCCTCAAAATAAATACATACAACTCTGTTTAATGTGATATATAATTTGTATATATTGGTATACTTTATGTTATCTGAAAAATAACTAAAACTAACATTTCTTCTATTAAAAATATCTGTTAGATTTACATTTCTGGATTCCATTGATTTATAGCATTTATCCCATTGATTGTTTTCCTGAGGTCAACTGAAGTTATCAATACGGAAAGAATGATTTTGCTGTAGTGTATTTACAATTGTAGCTAAATACAGATCTGATAAAATAGTTCTTTTGAACTATCAAGATAACTCTATATAGAAAACTCAAGCATTGAGTGAGCATTGAATAAAAATAGTTAACTACAAGATATTTTTATATTCTCTGATCTAAGAAAATTATTTTCAGATCTGTTACAAAATTTTTAGGTACTTTAGCAAAACCGTTCCTTTCATGTAAAATTGTCAAAATTCACATGATTACGTGAAATATAATGATCTATTAAAAAGCATGTACTACCTAGATACTACCTTATTTTCGCATTCTAACGATATAACGCTGTAAGAAACATTGTCAGTCGGTGTTATCGACTCGATCGTTGGACGGTGTATAGTCTCTTCTCATTTGTTTTTCTCTCGCGGCACGGCGACGCACGTGGACGAGTGCCTTCGTTTGTGAGCGTCACGGTTGAACGTACCCTCCTTGCGCGAACACGCGTAAAGAAGAGACCCCACGTACGTCGCGCGTGTACGCGCGACATGCATAACCGCGGGTGCACCGTGGCGATTCTAGAAATAGCGGTGTGTTTTCCGTCCGGAGGGGATCGAACCCGCGACCTTAGAAGTTACACACCGGCAGAGTGTCCCGTTATATTTTTAGTACGGGCGCACTGAAAAATGCACGACCGTCTCCTCTTCGCCTCCTCGTCTCTCTGGCCCGGTCTTTCAGGCCCGCTCTCGCCTCGTTAGAATTCATCGTGTTGCGCGCTTCGTGGTCGTTCGCAAGGTAAACCGGTGGTTCCGCTTGACGCTTTTTATAAGCGACCGCGTGATGATTTATGCGGGGTTAGTCCCGGAATTATCGCGCTTGATCTCGCCCTGAAGAACAGCGATTTTCTCGCGAATAGCCTGCGAGTTACGAGCGGTTAAAAATAAGAAAGTTTCGAGAAATTAATGTTTGCTCAAAATCTTATTATCTAAGAATACAAGTTTCATATTTTATCAGATTTTTATTTACGACTCATTTTATTCAGAATTGATAAACAATAATTACTCAATCAATTTATCACTGAGTCAATTTATCACTGAGAGATGCAGAGAATTGGACAAGGAATTTATATGGTAAAATGATACAATTTTGAACTTGGTAGATACAATTCTGAACTTGATAAGATTTGAATCCAATTTTTCGAGATTCGAGATTAGTTTCTTCCTGTTTCGTGCCTTTTAATACCCTTCACGAGATCAGGATTACCAAATTCGAACTTTGAAAATTGGATTCAAATTTTATTTCGTTCAGAATTGTATTATATTCAAGCAAAAGTTATGTTAAATAACGTGTTATTTAACATAACGTTATTTAAGTTAATACGTTATTTAAGTTATATAACTGATTGAAAAGTGACTTTTAGTATTGATTTTGGAACCATTTTTACAATATTTTGATGTCACGATGTTTTGTGTTTTGCTTAGGATAATCGACATTGATTATTAAGATCCATTAAGATTACAAAGATGCCGCTATAAGAATCAATATTATTGCATTGCTTGTCAGTTTAATTTGTGATATTACTACTCTAGTTCTATTTGGAGTGCGTTTTAAGATTGAAAATTAAATTCGGTGCATAGCTTGCAAGATTGGATATGTGTTATCTATATAAATTCACACCGAATTATTTAAGCACTAAAGATCCAGCTTGACCATTTAGAACCTTCATTTCCTATTTGTTGCGTATTCACATTACGATCTTAAAAGATACTTATCGTTAATGTTACACAATATTATCCTATTGAAAGAAAATACTATAATTTCAAAGTATTAGATAAAGATGATTATATAGGTACACATCTTTTTCGTTAGCAATATCTTTGATAATTTGACAATGTCAGCAGCTACGAATTCGTGCCTGTTGCTGAGCTGCCATGAGGTTACTTAATTCGATTCGTTCCTACGGAAGAGGAAGAAATCGAAAGGGGAAAAAGAAGGCGTTGAAGAGACTCGCGAATCTGCTTTATCTCGTTCACCGGGCGTTACTCGAAAGTCTCTCGTTCGCCACCTCTCGCATCGAGCATTCGAAAGGGAGGCTTCCGTTGCATTTTAATATGCACTCTCACGGACTCATTTCCGATTCTGATTTATAAACAAATCACGCCTTTATTCAAATTTCTTCACGGAAACTCGCTCCGCCAGAGTTTCTGCAGATTTCGCGGCCTATCTCTCATCCCGCGCGCGCGCGTCTCTCTCCCCGTTAAATTTTTCGTACCTCGCACTGTGTGCCTCCTCTGCCCTACAAAATCTCCTCTTGTAATCCTCTCTCTTAAAACCGTCTCCACCCTCTACCGCATTTCCAACTCCGCCTTCGCTCTCAATGCTCTTTAGTCATCTCCACGGTTTCCTCGCGCGAGCGCGCATACGCCTGTAACCTCTTACTCCGTTGCGATGGCGTCGGGGGTACCCTCCATAACCGTCCGGGATCCACCCTTGCCCACCCTTGTGCCTTGCTCCCAATCTGGCATGAATTTGCATGGAACCCTTTCTCGGCGGCTGACGCCTGTTAGGGCCGAAAAGCTCCACGGTGACGTACCTCATCCTCGCTCTCGCTCTCGCCTCTCTCCCTCTCTTTTCCTCTCTTCTCCCATCCCCAAGCCTCCGACGAGCGTCGGATGAAATATTCATTTAATTATGACTGATTAAAATATAGATAGCCACGTTACGTGCTGCATTACGCTCGTACTAGCACGAGCATCCGAACGAGTATTTTCCGCGCTCCTTCGTCTCTCCGCTCTGAAGAGCCCACGGGGCGCGACGGCTAATTGTCCGTAAGGAGGCACCGCGGGCTTCCGCGCAAATTACCACGTCGGCTTGAGTTTATCGCGAAACGGCCTCGCAGTTGCCATCATAAATATTTCAGGAAGACAACAGGCTGCATCGACCGCGGTTGCGCCTAGTCGTGATACATCACGTCGCGCGGGATCTAAGTCGATCTCGAGATAATCTGCGCGGAATGCGTCTCGTCGTGTAGCACTACAGCGTACACAACACATACCGGATATTGCTAAAGAGACGAAGTGAAATGCGGAAGAAGACTACGATTGCAACTTGGAAGTGTGTAACTTTAATTGCACCCTGTTAAATTTCTTATGTCAAATTATGTATCCAATTTGAATTGTTTTTAATTATTTCTATGTAGGTTTCCACTGCTTCTATCTTATATATCTTTAATTTAACTTATACGTACTTTAAAATTAATCACAGAAATGGGTTGATTTATATTTTAACACACAACACATGGACATTAAAAATAACAAAGTATTATTTAACTCAAAAAATTGGATTGTCATTGCTCGTTTAATATCTAGCAGTATAATTATATAAGTACTGAAGAGACATAATAATATTAAATTAAGTTCTCAAGATGTATATGTAAAATTTGAAAAATATATATTATATTAGGGCTCCGCAAATTTTTATTTTTGCATATTTTGTTTGCTTTTTCCTTAAGTTTTTTTAAAGGTGAATCTGTGAACTTCTTCATTTACGAATCAGGAGCGTCGCATCTGTATTAAAATCTCGATGTGTTATTATCTCGTTTTAATTATAGTATATCTAAACTAAATCATTCGTTGACAATTAATGTTACAGTTGTTGATGGAAAGATAATAATGTTGCGTGTCATAGGGAAGTTTTTTTCGGGTAATTGAAATTTGTAGAATACCGGCGTGGCCCGCCACGCCGATTGCGGCACGGGCACACGTGTCGGAACCGACGACGGTGGCGATAATATGCAAATGCAGCTGTTACGGCATGAACGCACTCAATTACCAGGTGCGAACGGTCGAGCCGCGCCGGTATCAGGTGGGTACTTAACATCGATTACTTTAATGAGAGACGACTCCCGAATTCCCGTACGACGTAATAAAGAGCGATCAAATAAGAGCGATCGATCGGGCCGATGTATCTGTCGGTTACAAGCCTAAATATGAGAGGCGCGAGGGGAGTAGTGTTCAAAATTAACAGCCACACTAATTCTGGCTTCGTTACTCGGCCCCCTGATTAATTCGATGCAAGTATGTTACAGCGACAGGACGCTGATAATTAATGACGCCGACGTGGTGGAAATTTCGAGGTGGATCTAAGTCGGTGGTCGCACCGGAACTAGGTGACAAACGATTTGCTTCTGTACGGTGACGTAAAGAATGTCGAGGCAACTATCGCTTGCTCCTTCGTTAACGTCTACGTTAACTACCTCATCTCGTTAAAACGCTTTTACGCTAATTACGAGTTAGCGATCGCGTTGTAACAGCGCGCAAAAAACACTTTACGCTAACATCGAATTTTACCGTTGACTTCTTGTTGCGTAAATAGTAAACTTAGTTACGAGACAATCTTATTAAACTCTGTAGAGGATACTGTTGACACTGTTACACTTCAATGTTAAAGGAACAATGGTAATTTCTTGAGCCAAATAACATTTTATTTTTAACTTGTATATATGTCAAAATATAAATCAATTCATTCTGTGTTAAAAACAAAAAACGAAGTAAAAACAATCTTCATATTAACATATGCGTTTAATAAATAATAAATTTGATTTAGATTTAATACATTTCTTAAATCAAATTTTTTAGTTTTATTAATAACATAATATTGAGTAGAAGTAATGACGATCTATAGAAAGGAAATTAAAAGTAAGTCAAATTGAATACCTATAATTTGACATGATATATTTAACAGTGTAGAATTATAGAAATTTAATATTTAATGTTTTATCATATTAATTCGATTATATAACAATATATATTATTTGTACGGATTTTATAACGTGAGTACTCCTTGATTATTCCGTATCTGAGAAATTTTCCATGATATAAAGTGCCATAAAAAATTTACATACAGAGGAAATAGATTCTTCAAAAAGTGTTCCGCCTAAACCAATGAATTACTGTACATCAACTTGCGCTACATACATATTACTGTCAGCTCGTAGCCGGTGAAACCGTAATGTAGCGCAGCAAAATATTCTGAACAAACGACGAAGTTTACTAAAAGAAGAAGCCGTAAAGAGCTCCGGCGAATCCTTATTTATCCTCGATTACGAGGCCGTCGTCGTCGACGAGTCTTTCGGTTGATTAAAAAAGAGTGGAGAGGCGTGTGGAGAAGAACACTCCATAAAGCTGCACTCGTTTCATTTTGCGTCCTTCATCAGACCGTCCGCCGCCTGATGTACGCGCGTAAAGAGAAGTAGCTCACGGGAAGATGTACGCGCGGGGGTCTCGTGAATCTCGCGAACTGCGAAAACGGGCGGGCTCGGTTACTTTCCCTAAAATAAGAACGCCGAGGGAAAATAGCGTAAAAGCTCCCCGCTAATACCACCGAGTGAAATTTTTCCCTTGGGGCGCGCCGCCGAGTTAAAAAATGACGGAACTGCTACGTCTCTGCGATAGATCTCTTGTTTGCGTATGCTCAAAGGTTACCCATATTATGTGAAGGCGTGCGCTTTAAAATTCACCTCCTTGCGTGGAATAGTGGGCCCGCGGAGATGTTCAAAGGGGGACGCTTCAAAGGCGCTGCTTCTCTCTCGACATAGCTGTTTCAATGGTCCGCCGTATAAGTCGACGTTGAAGAAACTTCGTGAACAACGTTGAAATAATACATAAAGATTTGTTGCCGAAAGATGCGCTTTGCGTCAAAGTTTCCGCGTGTTTTCCTTTTAACTTTTACTGTCCACTCGGAAGTTGAAAGGAAAGTACCGTGGAATATACTATATACATATAATTGAAGTCAAACCTTTAACTCGCCCATATGTTTCAGCGACGGAATGACGTAGGCGTGGAATTGTATTTTAATCGTATACTCCTATCTTTTCTTGCTTTCACGCATCGTGTATAATTTCAAGGACAAGAAGCCGCGGCTATTAATTCCCAAGGAGAAGTCTCTATTAATGTTCGTGCTAATATTCGCCGCGAGAGCTTTACTTTCGAGAGCAACCCTTTCGCATAATGGCGTTGAATTAGCGCCAGCGTTTCCCCTAGCCACGACCTCGAGGGCATATCATCGTCGACCCCCGCTGCCGTCGCCACGGTTCCGTCTCCAATTTTTGTCCAGGACCTTTAAATTACTCGGGATTAGACTGCGTGCATTTTACGAGCGGGCGAACGACAGAACTTTTTTAATAGCACGATAGCAGGTACGGGTCTTAAAGCCCTTTTTTGCATTTTCAGCGCTCGCAGTTTAAAACGTCACGGTCCGAAAATTTATCATTACTCTTACCCTTCTTGTGGCCTGGTTTATATTTGCGCAGCAATGCGTACGCGACGACGTAGCGGTTATTAAATTTTGCTGAATTTCGCGAAATCTCTGTTTTTTCCCATTTTATTTGTTTGTGTCTAATAATTGTATTTAATTATTTATTTATAACCACTTCTTATCGAGGAAAAAATGTTAAATGAGACAATCCCTCGTTAATATACAAAAATTTAATACTATTGATATTAAGATAATGAACGCGTTTTTAATTCTTGCTTTATATTATATATTTTGTTGCGTTGATAGAAAAGTGACATCAATCCTAAAGACTAATATTATATTTTTATGGAAAAACAACATATTTGCAGCTTATTTGCTTACAAAATTTTAGAAAAGTATCACTGCTATGACATTTATATTGGGGTTGTAATGTTTAAATTTTGACAACTTATGACGTAGTCACAAAGAATACATTTTAATTGAAAGCATGGAGCGAGTGAATTTCTAGAAATTGCGTATTTACTATCCCAATTAAAACGTTGTTCCAATTCAGAATTTAAAAAATACTCCACTGAAAGTTGTTAATTTTGAAATGTATTACTTTTCAATTAACGTAACGCACTGATTTATGTAAAGATACAAATAATATAGATATCTCTCAGATTATCATGAAATCGTAATTTCGATTTTCATTATTTCGAAGCAGAGTCTCTCTCAAATTGATTGCGAGGGCGAATGAGGCGAGTAACGTGGAATTTTCCTTGGTCAGAGAATTACGAACGATCGACGTGAGGACCACGGCCATCTGCACCGAGACAGATCCGAAGGATTTTCTTTTAACGAACAACTCTACGTTGTTTCCCGGTAATGGATTAAAGGGGGACTTGTTTAATTTGGGTAATCCGCACGGTTACAGCCACAGAATGTAGTCGCTATAGGGGGTGGAGGATATCGCAAGTAAGTTCTTGTCCCGGCAAGGTGATAACTCTGTACGCAGGTGGCTTCCTCTCCTTCGTGCCGTCCTGCGGTAAACCGCTCGACGGTCCCTTTAATTTTTACCGAAGACGACGCTTTTCCGAATGAATTACTACTTACCGGTCCTCCACCTCCCCCGTGTAAGTCGTTCGCTCTGTTAAAATCACCCGGATTTGTCGTCTGTAATTTACGGACGACGTGCTGGAAAAGAATGAGAAAAAAAGAGAAATAGATGGACATAATAACCGTGTAACAGCAGTGCCGTTTTTAAATTCTGAACGAGATCCCTCGCTGTGAATCCCCACGCGATATCAGACCGATTTTAATGGGATTATAAGAATATTTCTCTTTTTTTTTTTCTACTATTG